TGAACCGGTTTGGCTGGATACAAGTTTGATGTGCCTGCTTAGGAACCGACCTCAACCGCGTTTGTGTCGTTACTTTGTTTGTCCATTCCCATCCCATTTGGCCACCTCCTTCAAACACGATCCAATTTCACAGTCAACCAGCAAGAGTGAACAACCCAGCAACTTACGCATCGGTTGCCGCCAAGCAAACACCGGAAAAAGCACCGGTAACCTTTGTGCCCCAACTAGAAAGACAGGATAGCACCCATCAGTGCCGTTCACAAATTCACAAAAAACGCCGGATACTAAGCCTCCAAATCCAAAACCCGTAGCCGCCAGACGCAACCATAGTGCCCTGAACATTGTGTGCACAAATGTCCCCGAATCCAAATCCAACACAATTAAGGGTAAGTTGACGCAAGATCGAAATCAGTGGGGTTCCATCTGTACGTTGATCGCTGTCCATGCTAATCCCATGACATTAAAAAGAATCTCGCGCCACCAAAACGCGTTGCACTACGGCGAACCCCGGTTACTTCGGGTAACACTAAACTCGGCGGACGAGACTGAGGCCGTACTGCTGTCTGCGAATCGTCTTCGCAACGACTCAAGTGGAGCGCGCATACTACCTGAAATCTCGTGCAAAGAACGTTCAGTGAATTCCGATAACAAAGACAGCTACAGAAAAAGTTAAGGTAAGAAAACAGTGCTTGCGCACGAATTTCCTGAGCTTACTGCTTCTTCTTCGGTAGATGCTCAGATGTACGACCGCGAGCAATGGCACTTCATCCGGCAGGCTCTTTCTCTCGAAAATGTCGTGGCCACCTCGTTGACAAGGATCTCCATATCGCTAAACTATAAGTAGTGCGGTCCCAGGCTGTTAACGCTTGTGTTACAATCAGAACTAACGACACAAATTCTACTAAAGAAGTGGACTAAATTCCGTTGCAGATTGTCAACAGAAATTCGTCTGAAAGCAGCGGGAACACCAGCAACTTCTAATGACAGTTCAGTAGAGGCACAACTCTTAATGAAAACGCCAACTGCAGGACCCGACTCGGGGACGGTTTAAACAGTAGCCATAATCTCCGGAGGGACACAGCAGAGCACGCGCAAACACCGGGATCCGGGGCATCTGATACTTGACTACATACCAAATTCGTCTAAAGAGTCTGCAACTCATCCAAAATACGATTAGTCGCCGACCCTTTATTGGTCGGCGTAAATTCACTTGCTTCATCCAACCAATTTAACACACTTATGGTCTCAGAGTAGCTCTCATGCACGTACACAAGTGCCCAAGGTCTACTCAGCAAATTAGCTGAATTAAGACTTCTGCACGCGTCAGCAGCTTGGGACCTCATCGCTGTCACGGAAACGTGACTGCGCCGTGAGATAACGAATGCTGAAATCTCGCTAACGGGCATGTCCGTTGTCCGGAAGGATCGAGCCAGCAAAGCCGGTAGGGTGGCCCTCTACTTTTGTAACAACATGCAATGCGAACCCATTAAGGATTCGGAAACCGACATACCTGAATCCATTTGGTGTACTTTACGGCGGGGGAGGAGCGATCTTGGCCTACTGGTTATTGTTTAACGCCCACCATCGTCTACTCCTGAGATGGATTGCAACTTGATAGCTGCGTTGAGGCAAGTGATAAACAGAAAGTACAGCCACATTCTAGTCACCGGCGACTTCGACTTACATGCTCTAGAATCCCAGGCCATACCATGAGAGCAATTCAAAGCAGATTTGTAAGATCTGGTTTCAGACTTCCCGCTTTATGGCCACGTCACTATGCCCATCAGGTTCAGGGGAACTAACTGACCATCCATATTTGACGGAATATTCACCGATGAAGAACTGATAGTTGAGAGAGTAATAACCGATACTCCTTTGGGCCGCAATGATCACACGACGCTAGTGTTTCATTACATGTACTATGCGGATTATCCTAAAGAGCATGCCGAGGAATATCATGTCGTAAGCAACTATGACGATCTGTCCGACCTCATTGATGCAACAGGCTGGTCGTAGTTAGTCGAATTAACCTCTGAGGTGGCCTGCGGAGAATTTGTCAACATATTTACCAAACTCGTGGCAAGGACATCTGAAACCAAACGCTGCTGGCCTAAGGAGCAGGACACGTAAATGCATGGCATTAAGGGACTTGGCATGGCACACCTAAATAGCCTCCCCGAACGACCGTACCTGGGATGTCTACACAATCCAAAGAAACCACTGTGTCAAACTAGTCCGGGAGGATAAACTGAAGAACCAACAAGGTCTAGTGGAAAAGTTTTGCTCCAATCCCAAACTGCTATACAGACAAGTAAACAATTTGCGCCATGTTAAGCGCGGTATTGCTGCTCTGCACACAGCATGAGGGTTAGCCAAAACCCCACAAGAGGTGGCCAGCATTCTTGGACAACAATTTGGCCGTACTTTCCAAAGCGTGCAATCATCATACCTCCTGACTAAACAGATAACGAAGCCATCAGGGCTTAATTACATCTCGTTCACCTCCGCAGCTGTACTGAAGAGGCTGGTGTCTCTGCGCGAGTTCAGCTCCCCAGGTGCGGACGGCATTAGCCCGAAGGCGTTGAAACTTGCTGTCATGAGTTTGGCAGGACCACTAACAATTTTCTTTCAACAATGTCTGGGCCAGATATACGCCGCACGATGTGGAAGCACGGAATCATCACTCCAATCTACAAAAGTAGCAGTCGTGCTGAACCAGCAAATTATCACCCGATAACACTACTTCCTGTGATCTCCAAGGTTATGGAGTCCATTGTAGCTGAGACTTCGATGGGGTACCTGGAGAACAACAAATTCTTGTTCCGGAGCAACACGGAGTTTGCCAAAATCACTCATGTACCATTAATCTGTTGATTGCTCATGCAAACTGGAAGGAATCTGTGGACGCTGGTGTATGAGTCGACGCAGCCTACTTGGATTTCGTAAAGGCATTCGACCGTCTAAACCAACGCATTCTACTTCACAAACTCCAGAAATATGGAATCGGCGATCCTCTTCTGGGCTGCATAGGAGACTTTCGGGTGCAACGTCACCTGAATGTGAGGGTTCGAAGCAACTTGTCGGAATCCATCGAAGTTCAGTGCGGCGAACCTTAAGGCTCGGTATTTGGACCTCGTCTGTTCCTGGTTCTCATAAATGATCTCGCGAGCTTGCTATCATCTAACTGTTTGCTATTTGCTAATGATCTAAAGGTATGGCGTACTATAGCTGCAGTTGAGGATCAGAAAGCCTTACAGGAGGACCTGGACAAAGCGCACACATGGTCCATCGAGAACATGTTGCATTTCAACTTCACCAAGTGAAAAATTCTCAGCATACGGCACAAGATTATGCACAAGTACCGCCTAGGACCACAAATTCTGCAGCGGGCTTCTCCCGAGTGCGATATCTGCGTGCTAGTTCAAGATGACCTCGGTTAGGAGGCAGACTGAAAAGGCATCTAAGAAAGCAAACCAGTACATCGGCCTTCGCAGAGCTTTCGGGAAGTTTGACCCATCGATCTTTCCAAACATGTTTAGTGCGTACGTGAGACCGCCCGCGGAATACGCTATTCAAGCGCGGCAACCCTGGCTCAAGCACCATCTCACCGCGCTCGATACTGCACAAGGTAGGGCAGCGAAGAGCGTCAGAGGTTTGACCAGCCTCCCCTACCCACTCAGGCTGAAGACTCTCAAAATATACAGTGGACGTTATCGGCGTCTAAGGGGCGAACTCATAATGGTGTATCAGATCCTGAGGAACCCCAACCACTTATGCCATTCCCTTCTAATACTCAGTCAAAACACCCCGCTAAGAGGTCACCAGTTTAAGCTGGTCACGCAGTACAGCCGCCTGGAATATCGGCGAAACTATTTCTCCCTTCGAGTGTCACAGCCTTGGAACGCCCTCTCGGAACATGTAATTAATACACCTATCTTATCCCTTTTCAAAAATGGTCTTGAAGATACTCTGTCACATTTACACTACGTGCTATAGCCCATAAACATCAGACGCTGGCACTAATGCAGTGTCATAACCCTACTGGAGAATGAGTCACTCCCAAACCCTTGCGCAAATTTGATAAACACTGCTACGATAGAAACTGGATTTCTGTATCCCGTCGACCCAAGATAGTTGCATACGAGTAAGGGTTGTCCTTGCTATTTTTTATTCTTTTCTCGCCTATTATATGATCAGTAACCACGCCCCTTATTGCTTTGTGTGAGCACATTCTCATTTCAAACCCCCTTTATACGGCAGTGCAGTTAAATCTGTAATCGCCCGAACGGACGATTCCATTATCTCTTGCTCTATCTTTTTTTCAAGTTAAACATCTTACGGGACATGGCAAGCACCTGCTTTTTTACCCGTTATAAATCATTGTTCATTGTACATAATGTAACATTTTTACACAACAATAGCCAGCTGGCATCTCTCCGGAACAGTGCCCATCCGTTACCGGTGGCTCAGCCGACGTATCTCGGCTGCATCTTTTTTATTTTCTCGTGTCTTGCGACACAATAACTGTGTTTCCCACCTCTGTCTAAGGCGTATAATGAGTGAATTTTAATTATCATTGCTTGAGGTATCCGTGTTAGGTATTTTTTGCAGACCGGCGAAAGATGATTCAAAGACCCGAGAGATTTTTCATAGCCTTTATGTGCACCTTTTACTATTTCGATTTTATATCATGTAGCCTTGCTTCACTGCCGTTCCGTTTGTTTATTTGCGTCCGTTTCATCACTCCTATGTTTAGCGGGTTGCCATGGTGACACTCGCTCCTGCCTCGCTTCATTCATACAAGTCTTCATGCAGCACCGCTTTTATAATCCATTGTGTTTGACTTCATATGCCTTCCGATACTGGATTTTTAGTATTTGACACTGTTTAATTAGTATTTTTAAGTTTTATTGGATGGGTAAAATAGAAGAATTCAGTTATATTCAACATAATTATCAACTAGTGCTAAAAGCTAGAATCAGTAACAAAAGTTGACTTACTCTCGTTGTAGCTGGTCGCTGCGTGTATACATGGTCTATCCACTTTTGATATACGTCTTCGTGCAATCTCTTCTGGCTGGTTTCGTAAAAAGAAAAACGGTTATATTCTATGATTATAAAGTGGACGGTTCAAACTAGTGTAACCAAATAGACCATGTATTGTGTGCTCATTTGCTTCGCAATTGGGATCAGTCATATTCGTGTATTATAATTTTGTCTAAACGACCGATTTTTCAGGGTTTTTCAACATTTTTATACCAGAAAGTCAGGATTGCGGGGAGAAATATCGTTATTTATGGATTGTTTGCGTGGTGTCGCGTCACCCTCTTCGACCAGGAGTTCCTAGTGCCCTAAATTAGACCCTATTTGGAATACGCCACCCACGTTCTGCAGCTCTGGCACATGCACGACCTCACTGCACTTGAGGAGTCGCAACGAATGACGATCAAAGACGTGAAGGACCAATTTCGTCTCCCTTAGCAAAGTAGGCTGAAAGCCCTAGGGTCTACCATAGACAATATCGATAATGACATATTTGATCCTAATGAATCCAAACTGTGCTTGACGTCACCATACAAACGAAATCACAAAACCACTCTGAGAGGTCATTAGCCGAAGCTGACCACACAGTATAGTCGGTTGGAATGCCGGCGGAAATTTTTTCATTTTGTATGTGCCAACCTTAAAAGACCGTCCTTACTAATGTTGTTGTTTCCTCCAGACGAATGGTATTCAAAAGACTTTTGGGTGATACACTCATGCACATACATTACGCAATGTAGCTCTTTATATATGTGTGCTAACCTAACGCTACCGATTAAGGTGCAAATTTCCAATTCCTTCACTTCCTCTAATAAATTCTGTTACTGTGGTATATGGTTAAGACGTACCAGAACCGGATTTACCTAGCATATCGGTGCAAGGAAGCGGCGCAAGGGTGAGTGTTGTCCCTTCTATTTTTATTTCTTTCCACGGAATACGTCAGCAAAAACTACCCCCATATTTCTTGTGTGAGCACATTCAATTCCCATTTCGAACTATGGTTACACAGTTGTATAGTGACATCAATAGACTTCCAAATTGACGATTAATTTTTATCCTATGCATCAATTTAGTTATCCTCATGTACAGATCTTGGTACATTATCCATTTTTCCTTTTTGCTGAAGATCCTTTCTATCTCAGTAATCATATCCCACTCTTGCTTGCAGATACCCTATGTGTCATCCAGGCACCACATAATACAAACAGATCCGGAAAGCTTGGAAACCTGATTTCGTTTTGTTTATGAATCAGAATAGGCACTCGGTAACTTGGTAACTCTGATTAGACCCACCGAGCACATCCTGATTAGGAACCTGGTTATAATATATTACCCTGGTGGATAGAAGCCAAAAAAATAGCAGAAGGGTGAAAAATAACACCAGTAGTTCTTCAGCTTAATCGTTTGCTTCCAAACGTGTAGACCAACTGAGTTTATGTTTGACAGAGGAACTCGGATTCCTTGCTTCTCGCTTTAGAAGCTTTCTTCTAAACAAAAATGACCTTGCCTTTATCCGAATTGCGGAGCTTGTCTGGCGACCAGCGCTTCATTGACCTTACAGGCGACACGTGAATAACAAAAATGCTTTTTGCCTTAGTAAATAGGATCCAATTATAAGAGGTAACGGTCGAGTCCTCTGCCCTTTCTACCCAGTATAATTGTATACAGTGCACAAATCTTCCTTTTTACATTCTGAACATGAGGCCGCGTAAGTTTGTATAGATTAAGCCTGTAGAATTACTGATACTATGGAGAAAATGTGTCAAACATGAGTGCTAGCGCTGCAGAAATAAGCTGTAACCAAACGTTAACCGTGTCTATGGTACCTTTTGCCGTGATATATATGCATCTTTTGCACCAGTTCAATGCACTACCGGATCTAAATTTCGCCAAAATTCGATTCACGAAACGAGTATTTATTAGCGATGGTACAACACAGGCTTGAGACCTGTGCTACTCTGCTTCGGGAATTTAAATATAACAAGAGAACTTGCTGAACGACTATGATCTAGTGTTTTTGTCGATATCTTGATGGAGTTGTACAGCGCTAACTTTCTACTTGATATCATGACACAAAACCAATGGGCTTACTTTCCATGGAATCAGATGTCTCCCTGCTTGCCTGTGCACCACATTCTTAGCAATCCCGTTAATCTATAAAAAGATTATTCCAAAGACTTAAATTAACTAGCTAACACTTAACACGGCGCAATGTAGTGGAGTCATACCTCATCCAGTAGCTCTTCAGCCACTTCTTTATGCACACTTTGCCAAACGCTCTTTTTCTCGTTCATCTCTTTGCTCAAAATTTCATAGTGTTGATTCCGTAACGAAGCAATTGTGCTTCTGCTGACGAATGGCTGAAACTCCTCATATGCTGTCTGAAAGGGAATTTAGTAAGAATGCTAGCAATGTATCTGTATTGGACTTTGCAAAGCTAAACTGTCTAGGGTTAGTTATTGTTCCATAGATGGTGCTTTAACATGGAAAGTGAGAAAACAAGTGGTCAATTTGTCCAGATTTGCAGTAATGTCCTAGGGAAATGGTGGTATACAGAATGTGCAGATACACTAACGACCATCAAACAATGCTAAGTAAATACTAATACTAAGCGAATAAGGTAACAACCGCAAACCCTTAGTGGCAGACGTTCACTGGATGCTTTGAGCTCCGCCATCGCCGGGTGCAGAGGATATCCGATTGTGTGAAATGGTGTTGCACAACCTACAAAGTATCAACACTTTTGAGTGGAAGACAGAATACGGCATTACTGACGGAAGGAATATAGGAACGAATGTGAAACGGATGGACTACTTTTTTCCCCCTGTAGTTATATGAAAATCTGGGAATATATTTTGCAAGTCCCGATAGAAATGCTAGCAAGATTACATCTCTTACCGCTTTGGTGTTTAATGCTTTTTGCAACCAAACGCATAAAATTGTGCTATGCGTCAAATCTGTTAACGGTTTCCAATAACCAATAAACCGGTTCTGTCAACTAATTTTCTACGAATTTGGAAAAGTCTCTCAAATTTAGCGTTAATCACGCGACATCGGTTAATCACTTATTCGCATGTGTGCTTTAAGTTCACTATTCATTTTCTCCCGTCTTAAGTAGATGTTTGGACTAAACCAGCAATACTTAATTTGTACGTTTCACTTAACATATTTTACTACGATTCTGGTGTATTAAATGCGAGTTGCCACAAGAGCCAAACTGATGAGCCACTTCCCTCTGATCATGGGAATTGATATAGCAAGGCAGATGGTTTACTTCCAGTGAGTCAACTTCGTAGCTACTGAACCGGGAGATGTTTTACTTTGAAATGGTACGTTTCTATCACAGTCGCATCCTCCAGCTTTCGTTAAAATACAGCTTATGATACTTTCAACTTGAACGATAGCAAATGAAACTGTTTGAATTTTGTGCAGTAATTGCATCTAGTTGAAAGTGAGTAATCAGCATATGGAGTAAAATGACGCACGCCTTTGTTTCCAAAGTAATGGCGCTAACTGCCAAAATTCGATCGACGATACTACACCATTTCCCGGCCAAGTTGTCCTCTTGGACAACAGATAATCTGAGGGGGCATTCAACTTGAGTCTACTCAATTAATTTGTTCTGTGCGTAGGATCTGAAGCCTCCCACCTGCACCCCTATGACTTAGTGCGTCTGAGGTCCAATTGGCTGAAGGCGACGGGCTATACACGCACACCTACACACCTACACAAGTGACTGGTGTACGCACGGAACAAATTAGTTGAGTAGACTCATGTTGAATGCCCCCTCAGATTATTTCTGTTGCTCAAGAGGACAACTTGGCCGGGAAATGGCATAGTATTTGCACCATGAAAGCGCTTCGTGAGACTACGTTGACTTGCGGCGAGGTCAATTACCTGGGAGTACATTTCGAAGATAGCCATGAGTCATAGAACTAATATTGACAGCAAAGGCTTCGAAGTAGTGACACTCCGTACTGAATACAGTCATTCAATTTAGAGCAAAAGGATCGAGCTAACCGAAGTGGGATTGGGCATTACATTAAAAGGACAGAATCCACTTTTCTTTAGACACGTGAAACCTGCAGTCATCAGGCATCTCATAACGACTTAAACATGATACTTGTAGTTAGTTAAGTAAACCAATGTTTCTCCTGAACCAATCGCGACCACCTCTTATCTTGGGTTCGATGATCTAAATGAATGGCGTTCTCCAACGGATGTTATACAAGATGCTCTTCCCCCGGAGTTGGAGGCACTTTATCTCGATAACTCGGAAACATGGTCTTATGGTACACTGAACGCTGGTCTAAATTCACTCCACTGTTTAAAGCGCCTCATAAGGAACGGATGAGAATCATCTGGATATCCAAGAATGAAGAACTAATTGCGATGGATCATACATATTATGTTCTGTTTGCACATCCCTGTCCGATGAAACTATAAAAGTGGCTTTTTTGAAACTCACCTTCATTAAGCTATCTGCATCGTATGTCAACCGAGCCACTGATTTGAGGCACTTCCAAAAGCTAATGGTGTCTGCCTGCAACAACAAGATTTCTTCACTTCGTTTGAGAAGTGCCAAGGCAAAGCGGAACAAGGATTTTGGCCCTTCCAGCAAAAACACATCCCAGATTCGAATAAGAGTCTGAAAAGCAAAAGGTTATAATCTGATTAGATTTGCGGTATGGGCGAATAGCTTCTAATCATTTGTAGTGAATTAGCTTCACAGTGCCTCCTCACTGATGAAAATTTACGTAGTCTAAGTTCTTAATTCCTACACGCGGTAAATGTGTCATGTATATATCTAGTGTGAGTACTATGATTCCTTAGACAGAATACTGAGGATGACTGCTTCTTTGACGTAGCGACTGAGAATTGTTACTTCATCACCATCACAACTCACATGAACAACACTACTACAAACTAATATGCCACAATTTTCGTAACTGTACGGACGAATGCTCCCTAAGTATTATCCGCGTAAACTGAACTAGTATAAAGCAAAATAACTCGTCTACCGGGTGGCATACGTATAAGATTGTTCAACTGGACTTTTCACTTCAGTTATTCAAGACCGTGGTTAGCGTTTACCATTTGTTGTTTGCTTTATCGAATTTGGTTTTTGTTGAGTCGGATGTCCGCGATTGTCACGCTGAAGCTTTCCTCAGTTAGTGAGATCTAACCTATTATCTTATACCTTTTAATTTTACAAAGTTCAAAGTGCAATAATCTACCCAGGATGTTGAGTACCGTACAAAAATTGTTTCCGTTGATAGCGACAGGAAAATGCTGCCAGTTCCCACTGTATGTATCGTTATTAATGGGGATTACACTTTGGAGCTGAAAAAATCGCGGGTTGCATTTAACGACCCAAGTGAGTGTGAGTACAGTCTTTACAACAATTTTTTGTACATAGATTGCACGCGCGTACATTTGCATATCACGACATTGCGGAAAGCTTGTTTTTTCATGCCAACGGCTCACAAACCAGATAGTCTAACCCTAATTCGGAAAAGTACCAGATGATGGTTTTGCCCTCTCCCCCGGTTCCCTGCGGGGAGTCGAACTTAGGACCGCTAGCTTATTGCGCCCACTAGCCATCACCGTTGAGCCATGACGGACGGCAGCAGAAGGTCCAAACTCGTTAGCTATCCGGGCTATGGCGCGATATATCCTGCACTGTGTGTGGTTTCCTACCTTGCAGAGGGGAGTAGCTAGCCACCAAAGGTCACGACTTCCACTACACGGCAGCTGTATTCACATAGCATCCGAAGAATGTGGGATAAAATACTTGATTACTGATGAGTATAAGGATTTTCGATGCAATTTCGCAGTTTTGTCACAGCAGGGACAGAGGGAATCCGTAGAATTGAAGTATCCCAACAACACAAAACGATCTTTTGGTGCTTGTCCGGATTGGAGTTATGCTCTCTTGCTCGTTGGCAACCAGGGCAAAACACCGAAGTACCATCAAAAATCCTCTTACCTATTAGTAATGACCGAAATCCTCGACTGCTACTGCGTACCGTTCGCCACCTAACTAATGACTCTAGAGCATGATTTCATCCTCCTAGATCTAGTTGAGTAGAAACAATTATAATTAACGATAGAAATCAGCTCCATACAAGTAATATTTGGCTGGCAGTTCTATGGGGAATCTTTATTCTCTTTTATTTTCTGTTGTTGGTCAGGGACCGAAACGAACATTCACATGGTTCTAATGCAAGTATCGTTTAAAGTGTGGTAAGATTTTCAATGTGACCTTTTCACTTTGAACAGGCAGAAGAATCAGATTATCGCAACGTGGATCGTGACGACACCTCAGCAATATGCAAGAACGCGCTTGGACTTTTAACGTGTTGCAATAGCTCGGAACTAAAAATCGATCAGCCTCTCGTTTGAATAGGACCGCTTAGTCGATTTACAGGAGGAAAGTTAAGGCCTACTAGATTAAGGTTACTTCGCCTTTTTGAGCACGACACGTAACCTGTCTGAGTGAGTTGCTTATCCATAATGCTAAAATTGATGTACTTTGTTAGGCGGGTTCATATTGCTAATACAAGCCATAACGAACATGATCGGTCTACGGTTACCCATTACTTCTAAGTTCCTTAATGATTTGCCATGTTTCAAAACAGTCTATTAGGGAATAAGACGGAAAATCGGTAGCTCGGGAGGACATTTGGAAAGCCGAATTGCCCGTCTAGCTGAGCCCCTCGGTCGTAACTAGATTAGTCAGCTCTGTGAGCAAATCGGCGTAATGCGCTTTAAGCATAGAAGTTGTAAAACCATCCCACTGATTCCACTGTCGTTCCTATGAAGCATATGTAAGCGTTTTACACTGACTGTACCGACTCCATGCCTTCCAGTTAGCCACCATGTTGGATTCCACGGAACCGACAGGTAAAATAGTGTCCATGCGCTCGGACGTTTAATTTAAGTTCCATACTTCTGCTAGATATCGCGCCCTCAGGTTGTAGCCATGTGACGGTTATATTTAGGTCGAATTACTGTCGAAATATCATTGTTTCTTAACTCATAGTTACCCAAAGTAATCATCTAATCTGGAAAAATTAGTTGGATAATAAACGCGCTGCTTTGGTAATTGTGAAGTAAAAGTGTGCATCCAAGGAATGTCATTGCAGAAAAGAACGAATAAGTAACATCCGTCCAGATGAGCACGGACCGGACGTTCACTGTACACATTATATCATTAATTAGTTCTACACTTCTGATCTATCTATGGCTTTTTGTGGATGATAAGAGATGCCGACAACCGCCATATTGCACGAGGATATGACGTCAGTCTGTAGCTTCGGTTTCGAAAGCTTGACTAATATCCTGTACTTGATGATAGGTTGCAGGAAAGTTAAGGTAGTTCAGCTCTTCCAAACTCCGTCATCGGAACTGGTGCAGTGAGTACATCACCTTTAGGTGCCATTTAAATTAATTGCGTTTGATGTTCGATATTTAACCAGCCATTCGGACAGCATGATCGTTGTGTCCATTGTGTGTCCATTGTGTTCCTGTCGATGCTTCCCTTTAGATCAATGCTTCTTGGAGAACAAAATGATTGGGTTGTGTCGGAGTATCATCGAAGTGTCGGGGAATGCGCAAGTAACAGGTAGCATAACACTTCTCCGTTTCAGACGACAAGTTTTATAAATAGTATTTGCTCATAAGTAGCGCTGGGGTGCATCACCTGTCGGCAACCGATACTCGGTAAAGTGGAAGGACACAGCCACACATGAAGGAAGTAACAGTTTGACAACACAGACTTGCGGACAGGCTTTTGAACCAAATGCTTTGACTGAGGACCCTAATCGTCCTTCTGTCTAGGTCTGGGCGCCCTAGCACTATCTCAGCCCACACACAACCATGACATTTTCTTCAAACATAAACTTCATCCTGCATCGGCCGTCGCGCAGATTATCAAGGGTCGCCTTATCTGCTGCATACAGCAGGGCGGATAAGCGAAAACATGCTACTGCTGGCGCCTCCCTTCTTTCTTTTCCACCTTTTTCTCTTACTCCCATCCTGACCTCCATTACGAACCTTCCTTCTATAATTCCGAGCTTAATTGACAGCAACCGAAATGCCACTGGAGTAGAACCATCTGCAGCCACCATCCCACCGCAGCTATCGGGCGCCCATCGACAACAGTCCCTTTTAAGGCCACGATATCTCGTTTGCATGGCGAAATTCAACGTTCGCACTCTAAGACAGACAGGTCAACAGGCTGCACTCGCACGCACCTTGGATACACTGGATATTGATGTGTGTTGTGTGTCTGAAACTAAGATCAATGAACCTCATGGAGTTGTTAAATTAACTGCACCCGGCTTGTTTTCTCGTTATTGGTTGTACGCATCCGGAGACGCCGATGCAGCACTCACGGGTCAAGCTGATGTAGGTATTATACTAAGCTCCAACACTGTGCCATCGTTGGTTGACTGGATTCCGCTGAACAGCCGTTTATGTGCAGCCCGTGTGAGGAAATCAGCTAAGGTTGATTCACGAAGAAGTACGAAACGCTGTTGGTTTATTATTTCCGCTTATGCTCCCACCGACTGCAGTTCTAATGCTGTCAAGGACACATTCTATCACGAATTGAACGCGCTACTACGCAGTGCTACTAGTTCAGATATTATGGTACTTGCAGGGGATTTGAACGCACAAATAGGGCTTCTGAGCTCTTCAGAAGCGCAGCTGGGTGGTAATTATGGGCTTAACTCCAAACGGACTGACAACGGTGAACGTCTGCTGCAGCTGTGTGTGGAGCACCAGTTGTTTCTTAGTAGCAATGCTTTAGACACAGTGGGCGCCGAAGTGCCACTATGCATCCTCCTGTAGCTGGTCAGCGATGGACCCAAATTAACCACAGAGCCATAAGTTACAGATGGCGTGATTCCATGCTGGATTACCGCTCGTACTTGAGTACCTGCGTCGACTCTGATCATGCCTTGGTGCGCTGTCGTTTCTCCATGAACTTTACCGGCGGGCGCACCAAGCGTCCCCTACGATTGGCAACGGAGAAATTGTTTCAGTCCTCAGTCAGGCAAGCCTACTAAGAAGTACTGCATACCGAACTTCTGCTGTCTTGTCCTAATGACACTGAGCTTCAGTGGAATAGGATCTCGACCGCCATGCATGACGCAGGCGCATCTGCTTGTGGCACTATCAATCGTCATCGTACCAGTCACTGGATATCCGAGAGGTCGGTGAACCTGTTGGAATCTAGAAGACACCTCACGACTGGCTCTGAACACAATGTGACCAGACGGGCTATTTGACGCGAACTAAAGCGGAGCCTACGTGCTGACAAGGAAGCGTGGTAGACCAGTCGGGCTCAAGAAATGGAGGCAGGAGCAGTAGGCAATTACTGCAAGCTCTTCCAGCTAATCCGCACCACTGGTCCGAGAAAACCAGGCGTCAGTGAGACAATCAGAGACAGCGCGAGTGCGCTGATACACAATAAGGTGCGCCGTATGGTTCGATGGGCAGAACACTTTCAAGATCAGTTCAGCTTGCCCCCTGCTCTTGGACCTCTTCCTACTCAGGTGATGCAGGACGAGCCATGGACGGTTAGTTTGGAGCTTCCGTCGGAGGCCGAAGTCAGAAACGCGATCACAGCCCTTTATCGTT